CACACACAGGCGTTTATTGATGGCGCAAAGGGTAGGTTTAAATGCCCTGAGACAGCAGCGCTCTGTTTGCATGGGGGTATGCTGAGCCCGGGGTGGGGGTGCAATTTAGGATTCAGTATGTATATGTATATATGTGTGTGTGTTAATAAAGGATGGATATGAGTGATCAGTGCTTTGTGTGTCTCCTGCACGCCTCTCTCTTGCTCTGTCTCTGACACATACACACACCTCTCTCTCTCTCTCTCGCTCACTCTCTCTCCTCTCTCTCTCTCTCTCTCGCTCTCTCTCTCTCTCTCCCTCTCTCTCTCTCCCTCTCTCTCTCTTTCTCAGTAGTCAGTATTCTCTCTTCCTGTTGCCCTGCTTCCTCATGTCAGTCCTATTCTCCAGCTTGATTTTTGCAGCTTTCCTCGCAGTCGCAGTCTTTCCATCTGCCCATGTTCTAGTATCTCGGCGAAGAGCTTGCAGTTGTTTTTTGTTCTTTTGTATATTTTTGGATGAGCAGTAAAGAGCCCGCACACGCCTCAATGTTCCTGGTAACTCCTCAGCCTCCTCCAGCCGGGACTCTTCTCGCTGCATGATCGCATTTTTACCATCAACACTTTCTTTTTATTTCCTCATTTCACACTTTCATTTCTTTTTATTTTTCTTCCTTGTCGGGATTTTCCCTCATTTGAGCTTTTCGTTTGTCCCTTTCTTTTTTTGTTTTTTTGTTTCTGTTTTGTATTTTCTGTCCTTTCTAATTCTTGTCTTCTTTCTCTGGCAGTACGATGAGTTACCGCACTATGCCATGGACGGAGTGGGGGTGCCCACCTCTATGTATGGTGACCCACATGCTCCTCGACCTATCCCACCGGTACACCACTTAAACCACGGACCCCCTTTACATGCCAGCCAGCACTATGGGACTCATGCCCCCCACCCTAATGTTATGCCCACCAGCATGGGGTCTGCTGTGAACGATGCCCTTAAACGGGACAAAGATGCCATTTATGGGTAGGTACTGGAATCGGGTGGCATGTTGGTAGAAGTAGAATCAACTCAGCCCGGTGCTTCGTAGACACACACAAGTCAGTTTGTGGAAGGGAAAGTGAGCAGATAAACATCTCCCACATGAAATGATAAGGGAAAGGAAAGGCAGCGATTCGGGTTCCCAGCAATGAGCCGGGCCTGATAATTCCCTGCAAAACATTGCAACTTCATTAGAGCCACTCAGGATTCCTAATACCGACCAATTAAGGATTAAAGGAGCAAATAAAGAGAGGATTAAAAATCAGCTTGTTGCTATGCACAGCAAAACTGCAAATCCTTTATTCAGCAGACACAAATTGTCATATGATCATTAAGATTTCACATGTGCCGTTCTACTAAGCCAGGGATTATTTCCAAGACATCCTTTATTTATTTCTCATATTTCCCGTGTTCGATAACTCCCGCGTTCTCTCTAAACTTATACTGAGAGTAAAAACAAGAAAGACAATTTCACTGAATATTTCCTGATATTTTTTTTCTCCACATAATGTTGTTTTGTCATAGAATGTATGTTGTGATATCGGTTTATTGATGGTGGTTTGTTGTGGGGTCCGCACAGACACCCCCTCTTCCCTCTTCTAGCTCTGGTCTTTGAGAAATGTGAACTGGCGACGTGTACCCCGCGGGAGCCGGGAGTAGCAGGAGGGGACGTGTGCTCGTCCGATTCCTTTAATGAAGACATCGCTGTATTCGCCAAACAGGTCAATCACCTAGCCATCTATTCACCCCGGACCACTGGATGCTTGTCTTATATCCCCTTTATTACTGGATGCTTGTATTATATTTCTTCTGTGGATGCCTGTATTACATTCCCTCCATTACTGGATACTTGTGCTATATCTCCTTTATTACGGGACTCTTATATTATATCTCCTTTATTGCTGGATATTTGTATTATGTCCCCTTTATTGCTGGCTGTTTGTTTTATATCCCCTCTATCCCTTCTTTGGTGGGCATTACATCCCTTCCATTACTGGGTGCTTGTATTACATCCCTTCTATTATTGGGTGTTTGTATTATATCCCTTTCATTACTGGGTGCTTGTATTACATCCCTTCTATTATTGGGTGCTTGTGTTATATCCCCTCTATTATTGGGTGCTTGTGTTATATCCCCTCTATTATTGGGTGCTTGTGTTATATCCCCTCTATTATTGGGTGCTTGTGTTATATCCCCTCTATCCCTCTATTACTGGGTGCTTGCATTATATTCCCTCTATTACTGGGTGCTTGTATTATATCCCCTTTATTTTTGGGTGCTTGTGTTATATCCCTTCTATTACTGGGTGCTTGTATTGCATCCCTTCTATTACCGGGTGCTTGTGTTATATCCCTTCTATTAGTGGGTGCTTGTGTTATATCCCTTCTTTTACTGGATGCTTGTATTATATCTCCTCTATTACTGGATGCTTGTATTATATCTCCTCTATTACTGGGTGCTTGTATTATATCCCCCTCTATTACTGGGTGCTTGTATTATATCCCCCTCTATTACTGGGTGCTTGTATTATATCCCCTCTATTACTGGGTGCTTGTATTATATCCATTCTATTACTGGGTGCTTGTATTATATCCCTTCTATTACTGGGTGCTTGTATTATATCCCCTCTATTACTGGGTACTTGTGTTATATCCCTTCTATTACTGGGTGCTTGTATTATATCCCCTCTATTACTGGGTGCTTGTGTTATACCCCCCTTTATTAGTGGATACTTGTATTGTATCCTCTTTATGCTGGACATTTGTATTAGCTCCCCACTATCTTTGGATGCTTGTATTATATATTTTCATTTGGTGGGTGCTTGAATGAAATGACCCCTGTTTCTGGATGCATGTATTATATCCCTTTATCACTGGATGCTTGTATTATACATTTTCTATTACTTAATGCAAGTATTATATCCCTTCTTTGGTGGGTTCTTCAAATATATCCCTTTCTATTACTGGGTGCTTGTATTATATCCCTTGATTAGAGGATGTTTGCATTATGTCTCTTCTATTAGGGCATGCTTGTATTCTTTCTACTACTGGATGCTTGTATTATATCCCCTCTATTGCATGGCCACTATTACTGGATACCTAGAGTATACTATTACTTCATCCTTGTATCATATAAGCCATGCACGGGCTTTTATGGATTGGATAATACATGTAATAATTACCAGTTGAAATGTAACTGTCAGTGTTAGACAATACAAATAAGTCAATATTTTTAATAATAAGTCGATATTTTTAAAATAATTTGCCATAGGAACCTAAGGAAGGAATTGTGGTGTGAATGATGTTATAGAGTAAAAAATATATTGTGTGATATATATGTAAAGAAATATAAAGCCACACATTCTCAATCCGTCCTCATTAACCAAATATATGCACGCTTCAACGTTTGATATATATCAAAGATAGAGATTCACACACACACACACACACACACACACACACACATATATATAGCACACACACACACACACACACACACACACACACACACATATATATAGACAAAGCATGTAGATAGAAATGTTTATATGCTATTTGCATACACACATACACACTTTCTCTTTATGTGTCCATTTTTTGTCCTATTTTGCCTTTCTCCGATGATGGGTCCACAGACATCTGGGTAGTAACTTGTGATTGTGTTGTCTCCAGGTCAGGGCAGAGAAGCCTCTTTTCTCCTCGAACCCAGAGCTGGATAACTTGGTGAGTACTCTGTATTAGTGCATTTCTATGTAGTAATGTGTTCCGGTGTGCAATGTGTATAAGTGTAGCAACCTGCAGTACTTTTTAGTAATGTAAAACAGAGTGCAGGGCCGTGCTGTAATGTGTAGCAGTAAGTACTAGTGTGCAGTAGTGAGTAGTAAAGTGTTGCAGTGTGTAGTAACTTGCAGTACATTCTGCTCATGTGTTCCGGTGTGCAGTACAGTAATTAGTAGCAATGTGTAGTAACTTGCAGTACTTTCTACTAATGCTTACCGGTGTGCAGTATTGTGTAGTAAATTGTAGCAGTGTATAGTAATTTGCAGTACATTATGCTAATGTGTAGCAGTGTGCAGTACTATTTAGTAATTGGTAGCAGTGTTTAGTAAGGGGTAGTACTGTAGCAGTGTGCAGTACTGTGTAAGTCATGTTTAGGGTTGTGTGTACTAGTGTGCAGCACAGTGTAGTACTGACTACTAGTGTGCAATACTGGGAAGTGGTGTTGTAGTACTGAGTATTAGTGTGCAGTACTGAATAGTGGTGTTGTAGCATTAAGTAGTAGTTTGTAACCCCGTGTAGTGGTGTTGTAGTACTGTGTAGTAGTGTGTAACAGTCTATCCTGGTATTTTTCCAGCTCGGTTTGTGTTGGGAAATAATCTTGCTGGGCTGGGAATGGTAGAAAACAATGCAGCAGGGAGGGAGGGGGTCGGCTTGCTAGAAGTGAACAGGCAGCATTGTGTGGTGATTTGGAAATGTGAAAGTGTCACTTGTGTGTCGCTGTCACCTGTGGAGCAGCCTGTTCCTCATGGCAGTGAATTAGCAGGTAGGACATTCATCAGAAATCTCAGGGAATCAGGGCGGGCTGATCAGAGTGACTGAGCCATGACCGAGGAATAAACTAAAAGTCTGCATAATTAGTATCCCCCCTGTCAGGGGCACCCGGGCCTGTCCGAGCTAGGGACTGACTTGGGGCCCCTATGATCTGCCTCACCTCCTATATCCAACACATAATCCATCTTTCCCAGAATAACGGCTCTGCTTTCATTGCAGATGATCCAAGCCATCCAAGTCTTGCGGTTTCATCTCTTGGAATTAGAAAAGGTAAATAGATTGTTTTCATTACGGAACACTTGCTTCTGACATTCCGTTTAACTTATGGGGCTTTACAAGACGTGTCCTAATGCAATTACTGTATTTAACGATATATGCATCTGTAGCAAACACTCAGCATACCCTGATACACAGCTGTCTGTCATCCACACAAAACCATCACCATTATCATTATTATTATTCACA